GGTCCCACGACCCGAGGGCACTCACTACAGCCTTCCCGGGACCTACCAATTTCCTAATTACGGATCCTATGAATCAGAGACACAGAAGTTACAAAAAGCAACACTTGGTTACATATTCAAAACGCCTCTAGGGGCGCCTGGGTGGCTCAGTGGGTTGAGTCCGACTTCGGCTCAGGTCACGACCTCACGGTTCGTGGGTTCGAGCCCCGCGTCGGGCTCTGTGCTGACGGCTCGGAGCCTGGAGCCTGCTTCCGATTCTGTGTCTCCCTCTCTCTCTCTCTACCCCTCCCCTGCTCACACTCTGTCTCTCTCTGTCTCAAAAATAAAACATTCACAAAATTTTTTAGAAACGCCCCTAAACTCTATCCCACCTTTCACCAAAAAAAGAAGGAGAAAAAAGCAAGCAAGAACGCGTCTGCGGTTAGGGATGCTCAAGGGGAGCGAACCCTACGGAGCCCCGTATCGACACGTGTGTTTAACGGCTAATGGTGTGTCGACAGAGGAAGTGAGTGTGGCTGCAACGTTATCTTTCCTAATTAGCCATTTGCACGCAGTCACCGGACGTCAGCTCTCTCTGTCTGCACTGGCTTTCTCTGATTGGGTCGGTGTTTCTGTCACCAAATGCCTCGCTCCGCCACAGGCTCTGCGTCAGATGGATGTTCCCACAACTTCTGTGAATGACGACGGTGAACACGGGTGCCCCTCCTGTTCTTCCGGATGAAGACGCTCCCGGCTGCCTCACACCCCATCCTCTGGCTTATCTGCTTGACTCACCTTCCTGAGCCCGGGGTCCCACTTCTGCACAGCCTATGACGCCGACGTCCGCGAGGACCCCCCCCCCCCGGGGGACGTGTGTCGAGGGGGCTCCTCCGTCTCCGCCCACCTGAGCCAACGGAGGAGCCACCCCCCAGCTCGTTACACACCGCCTTCCAAGGAGGCCACCCGGCTTCCAGTGTCCCGTCTGCGAGTATCCCCAGGGGGTCCCGACGCGTTCCCCCCAACCGCGCGTCCTCAAAACACAAACGTCAAGTGCGTCCTAACCGTCAAGCCGTCGATCACGCTCAGTCCTCACTCATAGAAGGTTCTCACCTTGCCTCCCTGTTCCCACACCGGCTGCCCGGGGGGGCTAGACAGTCATGAGTCCCCTCCCCAAAAGTCCTAAGTTGAAACCACACCCCCAAAGTGATACTGTCAGGAGGTGGGGCCTCCGGAAGGCGGTCGGGTCACAAGCGTGGAGCCCTCTGGCGAGGTTGTGCCGCGAACGGTCCCTTGTCCCTTGAGCTGAGTGAAAATACATAAGCCAGCAGCCTGCAACCAGGAAGAGCGTCCTCACCGGACCCCGACCACGCTGGCACCCTGATCACAGACCCGCGGCCCCTAGAAGCGTGAGGAACAAACCGTGAGGTCCCGAGGACCACCCAGGCTGTGGCATCTCCTCAGAGCAGCCCACGGACCGGGACGCCACGTGACTTCCTCCACGCTGTGTCCACACCCTTCCTGGGTCCTGCGAACCTGCTTCTCTTCCACACCTTGGCTAGCGAGGTTCAAATGCCTAAAATAATCGTCTGCTGGCCCAACAGCAACGGACACCCTGCTTGCTTCAAGTTTCCTTCCTCCGGAAGCCTTTATTCTGGAAGACTCGCCCGCCCGCCGCACGGTTCCTCACTTAGAGGCCCCGCTAACCTACGCCAGGCACGTGTGCCCCAGGCAGTGTCCACGCGGGAAGTCCCCAGCCCAGCACTGGGCAGCCCGGGACAGCGCACACGGGGGGCGGATACAGGTGAAGAAAACGCTTCGCCATCCCGAGGACATCCACGTCACGGACACAGTGCGTGTACGTCGTACAACCCCCTACGGTGGTACCCTTGGATGTGAAAACTTTGGAGGGAAAATTAAACCCAACTCCTTTTCCTAAGAGTCCAACCTAGGAAAAACTGAATTCATCCCATTTATCTATTTATGGGGCACCCATATGTGCCATTCACTAACCAAATATTTTTAAAAAAAATTTTTTTTAACATTTATTCATCTTTTTGAGAGACGGGGAGAGACAGTGTGAGTTGGGGAGGGGCAGAGAGAGAGAGACAGACAGACAGACAGAAGCTGAAGCAAGCTCCAGGCTCTGAGCCATCAGCACAGAGCCCGACGCGGGGCGTGAACTCATAAACCATGAGATCATGACCTGAGCTGAAGTCGCTCAACCGACTGAGCTACCGAGGCGCCCCGTCGTTAAACAAATATTTAATGTATGCCATTATTTTAAGGCATTGTGGGGCATAAGGAGGACACAGAGCTCCTGCCCTCAAGAGACTTCCAATTTGGTGGGAATACAGTTAAGTAACAGGACGTGGTAAGAAAGTACGGGAAGGGCAGGGCTGGGTACCAGGTGCCCAGGGACACAAAGGGTCTCCGGATCCAATCAGGACCCGGTCAGGATGGAGTGTTCCCGGCACAGGAGGAGGGCACACTCGAGAGGCCGGAGGCGAGCATTAGGAGGGAGAAGGGAGGCCAGCACCGGGCCGGGTACTGAGGGGAAGCAAGCAGGACGCGCACACCTGACTTACAGGCTTACAGTCCTCCTGCGGGAACCCACTTAGGAGGCGACTCCTAAGTTGTCAGAGTAAGTGAGACACATACACGCCCCTCTTGAGAAACCTGATAAACAGGCCCGCATGGCATCATGGGAAGAGCACTAAACCAGCAGCCAAGAGACTGGTCCCCCGTCCGACGGCCTTCCCTGGCCTCCGTCAGACGAGGCGGGCACAAGACCAATGGCCAGAAGGTAGGAAACAAATTCAGGGGCCAGCAACCTGCACTCTTTTCTTGTTTGTTTGTTGCTATTGTTTTACTATGAAATCGAATGGAAGACATTATACCAAGTACGTCGCCCACAGGAAAAAACAGGGGTTTGTGAAACGCTTCGGGTGTAAACGGATACAGACAGGTGCCGACGTTACCTGTGTGTGCTCGATAGAGACCTGACGTGTAGTATTTGTTACTGGGGGGCCACTGTCGAAAAGGCTTCAAAAGCCCAGGGCAAGATCATTTGTAAGTTTCTTCAACCTCTAAGACGCTCATCGTAGCCTTTAAATTCTAACCCACTTTGGGGACGCCTCGGGGGGCTCGGTCGGTTACCGACTCTTGGTCATGATCACAGGGTTGTGAGATCAAGCCCCACATCAGGCTCTGTGCTGACAGTGCGGAGCCTGCTTGGGATCCTCTCTCTCCTCTCTCTCTGTCCCTCCCTTGCTCCCTCTCTTTCTCTATAAATAAATAAACATTAAAAAAGTAAAATAAATTCTAACCCGTTTTACAGGAGTGTGAATCGATCCAGACGTGAATTGTGGCATGAAATTACATAAATCATGGGGAAAATGTAGATCCACCGTCAGATCATCCAAAACCGCATCGGACTGTTTATCCAGAAACCGTGCCTTTAATTAAACTAAATGTGGCAAAAGTCTCCAGGAAATAACTACACGTCGCCTATGTGGTAACACGGCCACACCTGTATACTCAGGGCAAAGGGCTAGCCTTGAATCTGACGGGCTTTAGCTCTAATGCAGTTTGGCACAAGCAGGGACAGGGGCTCCTAACATCTTGATACTCAAGGGAGGACTTTAATGGTTCGTTTGTTACGGACTTCAGGCCAACCCTTATGCTTACTACCTTTACCAACAGCACACTGTAGCAATGTACTGCCTGTGTAGGACACGCTGTTTTGCAACCCCTTCCAGGAACAGGTGGCTCTCAAGCACCGGCGGATCCCGACTCAGTGTATCTACGTACGATACATTCTCCTCTGCCCAAGTCATTTTCGAAAAACTATCAGCCAAGAGACGTCCTTCAAGACTCCAGGGGAACACAAATTAGCATCTGAAATGTTCTTCTGTCGGACAAGCTGTTTTCCCAGAAAGGCAGAGGGTAATTTATGAGCATGGCAGGAACAGGAAAGGAGACAGAACTCATTCCTGTCGGCCACCTGCATAAGCCAAGCAAAGACATTTTAGATCAAGTGCCCATCGCCATAACAGGGCCAACTGCATGTACCCTGGGGACTCTTTCCGGGGGAGGAAACCAGGTGGCATGATAGACGTGATCCCAAGTATTGTCACCATCATGGCTCCGGGGTGGGTGGGGGAAAAGTCACACACACCACAGCTAGAGCACAGCGGGTGACGTGACTGGCCCACCTGCCAGACACGTGCCCACGCGGAGAACAGACCTCAAGTTTTCTGAGTGCTGTCTCACCAGAGCACCACGACCCGGGTTTGGGCCTGGTCCACCAAAGGCCCCGCCTCCATACCTACTTCCCAGTCCTTCTGTGAATGCTAACTCAAGGTCAAGTGATTCCCAAACCCCATCGCAGAAGATTCAAACTCATCTTGGGCCTGTTCCTGAGGCTCTGTGAGGTGCGAGGCCCACAGGCCGTCAGCTAAGCTCCTGGCCGGGAGGCTAACTTCCCACTCCGCCCCTCCGGCCACCTCCAGGGCTGGCCACCTCCAGGGCTGCCCACACGTGGCCCCTCGGAGCACCTGACGACGGGAAAGTCTTTGGAAGCCATCCCGTGTCGCCCCCGGATGGTTCCCGGCCTGAGACCAAGGGTCTGGTGGCCCCCGCGCCTGGCCCAAGGTCACTGCAGTGTGACGACCTTCGGTCCCCGGCCGCCAGCTCGCACAAACTCGGCGCGAACGAACCAAGTTGTTCCTGCCCGGGCCCCGCGGCGCCCCCAGGCCGCCGCGGGCGGTGACCGGAGCCACGAGGGCCCCGGGCCGGCGGCACCCAGGCGTGCCTGAGCGGGCAAAGCCCCGGGATCCGCGCTCCCGGCGGCGTTTGGGGAGCGGGAAGGCCAGGGGCGGAGGGGGCAGGCGAACCCACCCGGCCCCACCCCCCCCCCCCCCGCGGCCGGCGAGGGGGGGGGCCCCGGGGGGGGGGGGGGGGGGGGGGGGGCGGGGGGACCCCCCCGCCCGCCTCCTCCCCCTCCCCCCCCGCGGGCTCACCGGGTGCGCAGCGCCTGCCAGGCGGCGTCGATGTCGGCGTACAGGTTCTTCTCGGAGGGCTTGCCCGAGCTGACGCCGTAGCCCGAGTAGTCGTAGGAGAAGATGTTGCAGTTGATGCGCGAGCCCAGGCCGATGTAGAAGCTGCACATCTGGCCCAGGTCCACCGCGTTGCCGTGCGAGAACAGCAGCGTGTAGCGGCTGGAGGGCGCGCAGCGCACGAACATGCAGCCCAGCCGGTTGTCCCGGGCGGTGCGCGAGAAGAAGACCTCGACGGCGTCCAGCTCGCGCTGCG